CCCCCCCCCCCCCCCCCCCCCTCTCTCCCCCTCTGTCCCTCTCGCTGTGTCACTTGGTAGGTACCAGTTTCAGCTTCGAGAGGCAGGCCTGTTTAGTGGCACAGTGTTTCAGCACCAGGCACGAGTCGACGTCGCTGCCGGCGATCCAAAAGCCGTTCTCGCAGCTGCCGAAGGTGTGGAGCGTGCCGCCGACTCGCGACTCGAGTAGCGGCTGGAAGAGGGCCACCAGATCCTTCTTCTGACGAAACTGATCGCGAGTCGGCTTCAGCAGCCGGTCGTGCGCACGCAACTGACACACAGCACACACACACACACACACACACAGAGAGAGAGAGAGAGGGAGAGAGAGATGTGTGCGCTGTGCTGTGGTGTGTGTGGTTCACTTTCTGGTGCCCGTACCTCGGTTGTGAGCTGGTTGAAGTACCTCTCCTTGTGGCTGTCCCCATCCTCCCCACCGCCCCGTGCACCAGAAACGGGGCACCCATGGTCAGCGCAGTATCGCTGCAATGCAAGTGCATTTTCGCGGGTGAACCGCTCCGGGTGCCGCCTGTAGAGGCCCGCCAGGAAAGAAGAGGCCAGATGCACCGATGGTGCCGCATCAAAGTCATTTTTGGCACCGACGCCATCAGTGACTGTCGATGCGGCTGATGCACATGATCTGTGTGTGGCGGGGCATGGTGGGGCAGCAGGGGCCAAAGACAGCCCTGAACAAGGCGGGAGAGGCCGTGTGGTCGGCTGGGTGAGCCGTGTCGATAGAGCAGAGACTGCCGATACCGAAAGGCTGCGATGGCGCTGCATATCTGCGACACTGCTGATAGATTCAAAGCGTCCGAACAGTCCGAAGGCCGCCGGCGTTGTCAATCTGCTCTCTGATAAAGGCTTCGAAACCCTTGGCCGCCTAGGGTCCTCCATGAAACCGCTGTTCAGATCTCTGGGCACTGCAGTGGTCTGATTGTGGATGCGAAGCAAATGGCGGAAGATTCTCATGGAGCAGGAGAAGATGGTCAGGCGCGGCTCAAGAAGATGGTCAGACGACTGAAGTTCTCAGCAATGCATTGAATGCATCCACGTGTGTGTGGTGAATGATGTGGTGTGTTACGTGTTCAGGCGACTTCACTCACAGTCTTATCCAAGTCGCTCGAAGACGCTCTCCGTTCTCCCAGGCCTGCGCTGCACCCATCGCTGGCCTATCTGCCGGCCCTCACCCGCGCCATCTTCATGGCCGCACCATCCCGTGAGTCCCGGGGCGATGCCAGCGCACAAGCATCGATTGCCAGTCTCAAGATACAGGCCTACGACATGATGGTCTCCTGCTTGAGCGCGGCCCTTGGCCGTGAAGACGCCTCCGCGATTGTCCGCTGTGTGTTAGGCGGCGGATCGGCAGCCAGCAGGGGGCTCTACCCGCTGGCGAAGGAGGCGGCGGACGACACCTCCCCTGGCGATGCGTGTCAAGCCAGTCTTGGTGAGCTGTTGATCGTCGCTGCCCTGAACGACATCTATGCGACACTTGCAGCCATCCTTGACAAAAGCAACGTGCACAAGGACGCTAACAGCCCCCTCTCTGGCAAGGAGCGTCTGGCCATCGCCGCCCTCCGCTTCATCGCACACGTGCCCGAAGCGCTTGTGGTGTCGTCTTATCCAGCCACCACCCTCCTGGATGCCACCCGCACTCACCCGCTGCGCAACCCCCCTCAGCCATATGCTTCATCTGACGAGCCGGTCGACCCTCTCATGTTCATCGTGTGTGCTCTTGTGGACCTAGTGAAATGCACGCCGGCCTCTGCTGATGGTTCTGCTGGTGTGGGTATTGGTATGGGTGTGGTGGAGATGGGTCGTTGGGCGATCAAGGCGGCTGGGCGTGCCTCGGTCCTGGCGTGGCCATTTGTGGCCAATCTCACCAACAGGAGGGGACAGGACACGGCGGAGGAGATTGCGAGCTACGCTACCTTCACGGCCGGCGATGGCATGGTCAGTCACTTACAAAGAGCAGACGACTTTGTGACACAATCTTGATGACTGTCTTGGTTGGTTCATTGCTGGCAGGGCCTGAGCATGTCTGGCGATCGCGCTATGTGTGCCCGTTACATTCAAGCAGCCCTGTCCCCCCTCACCCTGGTCGAGAAGGCATCGCGAGGGCCTCCGTCTCTTCGCCATTCCATTCAGCCACTATTCACCACATCGCTCTCAATCCTGGACTTCCTCATATCCACCGCCCTCCATCGCCCCACAGACAGCGACGCGTCGCAGTGTCGCCTGCATCCGTCTTGTGCCGTCCTCACCCTGGTTGACCTCCTCGCAGAGCACAACGCCACCTATGACGACCTCCTCACCGCCATCCTGCCATCGCTCGCCGAGGTGGTACGGTCGGTGCCTGCGCTCCTGTCGGGTGGCGATGGCACCGGCATGGGCTGGGCGCTGTGCGGTCTGCCGTGCATATGGGATGTGCAGTGCGAGAATGTCATGAGCGTGGCCGATTTACAGCAGGATGAGGGGGGCGATGACGTTGTGAGGCGACTAGTGATGAAAGAGGTGTGGCTGTGGCGGCTCGGCGTCATAGCCGTCATGGGGAGGGCCAGGGGAAGGGAGGCTATCGAGCGGCAAGATGCGCAACAGGTGAGGGCAGGAAGGAAAAGCGGCACAGCGGATGGACCAATGCCTGTAAACGCGTCGGATCCGTGTTTCTGTCTTTGCGTCAGATTCTCGCCTTAGCCCGGCATGTGGTATCAGACATTCTGTCGTTGCTCCCCAGTCCATCACCACTCCAGTCCTTCTTCCCACACCCGTCGGCCCCATCCCCATCCCGTCCGGACCCCCCATGCCAGCGCCTTCTTTCCTTCCTCGGCTGCCGCGCTACCGTCATGCTCTGGCTACTACAACAGGCTGTCACGGATGACGAAAGGACCAGCAGGGGTGACAGGGTCGACGAGGCCGTGCAGGCAGCGCTGACCGTCGCTTTCCCTGCGAGCACAGTGGACCTGCCACGTCTGAGAGGACATATGGAGACCGAGGGGGACAGCAAGGGCCCGTGGGTGTGGAAGGACGAAGAGAAGGCATCAACACAAGACGGTAAGTCAGGCATACGGACACCACTGCCTGAAAACTCTCACTCCGCTTTCAGGCTCCCCACCGACCCTGTCTCTGCTGGAGCACTTTGCGTCATCCCTCCGCACCACCCACCCTGACTCTACGCCAGCTGCTCTACTGGAGTTCATCGGCCATCTGTCGGCCGTCATCCAGCCTCTCCACGCCATGCCCTGCTCGCCACGCGCACAGCCACCATCCATCAGTGCCTCTGTTAGGGTTCTCCCGGCAAGGAGAACGAGGGAAGGTACGACAGCCGCCGTGGTGGACAGCATTTCCAGCGCTCATCATCGTGTCCGCCGGTATCTGACGACCCTCCACGTTGCCAAGGCGACCCTGTCATCCTACCAAGCCGCGTCAATGCAAAAGTCCTCTGCTGTTCCTCGCGCCTCAGCTCCCCCTCCCTCTGCCCCAACGGATGCAGCCTCGTCTCTTACTGCCCCCGATGCGTTCACCAGACTGATATATCACGAGAGAAACGCCAAAGTGAGAGCGACGGCCGTGCAGCCGAGAAGGCGGCGGCCCAAGGCGCAAGACCAGCCGTTCACGTTCCTTCGGGGGCGCACGAGACAAGCAGGACCGCCGCGGCGGCAGCCGAAGGGGACACGAGGAGAGGCGGCGGCGACGGCACGCAATTTGTCGGTCAACCAGTGGGCTGCTGTGGAGCCTTACCGCACGTCTCGTGCTGAAGAGGCGACCGAGCGGGCCACCAAGCAGCTTTCACATAAGGGATGCCTTCTCCCGTCTTCTCTCGACAGCTGTGTGGCTCAGTGGGGCACGGTGGTGGGCGAGGCGAGCAGCGATGCGATGGGCGCGTGGGTGGAGGTGGCAAGAGGCATGACGACGGCTGCCAAGGGAGGACAGAGCAAGGGAGTCAAGCTGGCTCTCGACAAGGAAGTGGTGACTGTCGAGGCGACCGTCGACGACAAGGGCCTGACAGCTGACCTACTGGCGGGGTCAACCCTTGTCGAGCGCACCATGGCTTTCAGCCATGTGCTGTGGGCGACCTTCATTGCCCCTTTTATAAACCCTTCTGCCCCTCCTTCCTTCGTTGACATCGTCTGCTGGTCTCTGGGCAAGGGATTGGTGGCAAAGAAGAGAGCAGCGGATCCGTCGGTGGCGCTGTGTGGCTTCATGCACCGTCTGCATTGCCTTGTTGGCCTTCTGCGGGCCCTGAGCGGACGATCGAAGAAAGACGACTGCATTCTCAACCCGACGCGCCACCTGGCCATCATGAGAATGATTGCGGGGCTGGCCGACCAACTGCCCACCCAGTCAGTGCCGAGCGAGTGGTTGCCTCAGTGCCTGCAGCTGATCGACAGAGCAGCAGAGGAGCTTCAGAGCTGTCAGCGTGCCATCGCTGAACACTTGAAGGCCACCATTCCCGAGTCCGTCCTGTCAACATACGCGAATCGGCCAGTCGACTACCTCCTATCGATGCGGCAGGTCATCGAGAGATCTATGGATGTGAAGACCTTGCAAGGAGAGGAGAAATGGGAGTGGGATGACTGGCTAGCGGCTTACTGGGAGTGGAGCGATGAGGGAATGACGAGGCATCACGGGCTCGTGAAGCAGTCTGAAGGGCTTGGAATTGACACCTTCGGTCGGCCTGTGACGCTAAGCGTGGCGCCACTGATGATCACCCTGCAACACCAAGCCAAGTGAGAGGACACAATGTGTGCCGCTGTGTTGAGGTTCCTCTCTCTGACCTCTCCAGATTTTGCCGCCGTCTCGAGGCTTCCCGCTTGATCCCTGCTGTCGGGCTGCTGCTTCACATCGACATCCACAACACGACTCACCGCTTGCTCGAGAATTTGAGCGCGACACTGCAGCTCCATCCCAGGACTTTCTCCACCTGCGGCTCATCCGTCCGTCACTCGTCCCCTCGCTGCGTTTTGCTGGACCCCATTGACAGCAAATCCTCCGTCACGTGCACTTTTTCACTGGAGCTCGATGCGTTGGTGCCACTGTCCCTGTGTGTCTCCTTCGGCTTCACGGCAGCCGTCAGCAGCACCGATGGAGGCCTAATGGGCTCTGGCCAGATGGAACACGAGGGTGGCATGGGGCTGATCGATCGCGCGGTTGATGGAGATGGTACATCAGACGGGGGAGGGAGACTGGGTCACGACGATGCAATGAGCGACTGCGAGAGCGATAAAGAGTGGGGGCTGGACCATGCGGATGGCAGCTTGCAGGCCTACTATTGTCGTCAGCGGGATCAGAGTGATACAGCTAAGGCAATGCTGCGAGCGCCATTTGCTTCTGTTACGTACAAGCTGCCGATGGACGCCTTCTTTGTGCGGGGCTGGTCAGCTGCAACCATGGCTCGTTGAGGCTGTTTTTGCCTCTGTGATTGATTGATTTGATTGATCGATTGCAGTGGAGAGGGGCGGCGACTGACAGGGGGACAAATGGAGGGAGGGAGGGTGCATTTGGACAGTATGTAGACGAACTTCGTCAATGATCAAGGCGCAAACTGAGTCCATGCATCCGTCCAGGCGATTGGGTGCAACGCACAGCGAGCGGACAGGCACCCGTGTATGAAATCTCAAAGCATCACTGTGTACACGGCAAAAAGACCCAAAGCATCCGTCCATCACTGACTGACTGACATAAATGCACCCACTCACTACCCCGACGAGAGAGAGAGTCTGCCTCTCCCTACCGACAGCCACCCAGGCAGCCCCTCCCTGCCCCCCTCGCCTTCCACCCACCCACCCACCGACCTGGCTGCGCCCTCAGGCTCAGGTGGTTGCCATCGTCTGCCCACTTTTCTTGTGGTTCTTTTTCTTCTCTTTCTCGAGCTGTGCGGCCCTCTCGGCCTCCTCCCGTGCTGCCCGTGTCGACCGCCACTCCGGCGTGTGCTCCCACTCTTCTGGGCACTCGGCCGCCCGCTCCCTCAGCTTGCCCAGAATCCAGTCGACGATATCCTGAGCCTGGGCATATTGTTGTGAATGACATCAAGGCAGCACATGGATGCGTTAAAGCAGCTGCCGACACACAGATGTGCGTGTGTGTGTGCGGCTGACCTGGTCACAGATGTCGAATGTGACGCATGACTTCATACGGGACAAACCCAGCCTTTCATCCGGTCCGGGGCTGTCCTTCTCATCAGGCAGCTCCACCATGTACCACTCGAGCCCGTCCGTCACCGCCCCATGCTGCAACAAGAACACACACACCCGTCCCCGTGTGTGTGTGTGAGTGGGTGTGGGTGTGAGTGGCTGGGTGTGCCTGTGTGTTGGCTTACGCTGCCGAGTTTTTTCTTGCGGATGTGTGCGGCCGTCTTGGCCAGGTCGAGTGGGCCACCGCTGCCGTCGAAGACGATCCAGAAGAACGGCCTGTGATGTCTCACCCCATGTGAGGACGAAGGCGGGCTGCTGATATTCACAGCAATAGAGGCAGGCCAGGGAGTGAGTGCTGGCGTGAAATTCGCCTGTGTGGTTGACAATCTCTCACTGTCTGTACGTCCGTACCTCTCCCATGAGTTTGCCCGTCTGGCGGCTGAATCGCGTCCACAGGTTGTGCGCGTGCATAATTAAGTTGGGGTAGCCCGCGATGGCCACTTCCTGCACAATGGGCCACACCAGCGTCCCAAGCAAGGCGGCGGGGTGGTCGAACTCCTTGCCAAGCGTGAAGGATGTGTTAATTCGAGTCCCAAAGTCGCCCTCAGAGATGTTGCGGCGGATCTCCAGCGGGTTGAGCTGCCACTCCTCCTCCATTATGGGGCGGAAGCCGGAGCCCTCTCTGACGTTGCGGAACGTCACCTGGCAGTAAACAGACAGGCAGACAGGCACACACAGTGTGAGCGTCTTGGCTGCGTCAGTGCATACCATGTGCATGAGTCCCCTGCGGCGTCGACTTGCCTCTCTACGAGACCGGAAAGCACCGATGGCAGAACGGCGGGAATGAGGAGGCAACGTGAAGCCAAGCACGGCTGCGGCAAGAAGGAAGAGGATCAGCAGGCGGAGAAGGCGCACCATCGTGTGGACGGAACCACACTGGACGAAGAGGCTGCGATAACGCTGCATATCTGCGACACTGCTGGTAGATCCAGAGTGTCCAAACAGTCCGAACCGCCAGCATCGTTCGTTTATTGGTTCGTTTGATAGAAGCTCGCAGGTGTGTGAGGAGGGATCGAAGTCATTGCTTCGGGCATTGCAGTTGTGTTGATCAGCCCAGACAATCGGTTCAATTGGTTCGCAAGCCACACACAGACACGCTGACCGACCAGGTCAAAACCCACCTAGGGGCAAAATTACTCCCTCCTTGCCTCCCGCCCTCCCCACTGCATCAATCAATTGACCTGCATCAATCAATTAATTGATTTCTGCTGGCCTGTCTTCTGCTATGCTGCTGCTGTGGCCGACAGACTGACTGACTGCCGATGTGCGAGTGAGTCACAGCCTCTGTCTGCGGGCGGGCCTTGCCGACTCATCCACACCACCAGCGCTGCCGCTCCGGACACCCACACCAGCGGACGACGCCTGCATAATGGAACCACGGAAGAAGCAAACACTCATCCAGGGCCGGTCACACCTTCTTGCTATGTAAGTGTCTGTATGCCTTACGGGCTCCGAGGCTGCGGCTGCTGCCGTCGCCGCGTTGTTGTTGCTCTGCTGAGGTGGTCCGGCGTTGAGGGATGATGCGGCCTCTCCCCCGCCCCCGCCGCCGCCCCCATTGGCCGCCCCGTCGACAGCAGCCTGCTCTTTGGCCTGGCGTAGGGCCGTCATGATGGCCTCCACACTTGCCTCGAGTGTCGACAGCGCTGCGTTGGCATCGCTGAGGGCCATGAATGCATCACTCTGGAGAGGAGCAGCGCCGCTCGACGATGATGATGACGATGATGATGATGGCTGTTGCTGCTGCTGCTGCTGTGGGTCTGGTGTGGCCGGGGGAATCATCTCGTAGATGCCAACCTGAGCTCAGACAGACAGACAGACAGAGGAGTTCCATGGGGCCACTCTGGCACCGTACCCTACCCTGAGGCCCTCCTTGAGTATTTCAGGCTCGAGGAGGATGACACAGGCCATGATGAGCAGCTCTGCACACACAGACACACACAGGCAAAGTCCATCCACTCCGCACAGATGGCGCAGCGCATACGTAATGCAGTCATTGATCTCACCGATTCCTGGTTCACCGAGGCCGCCGGGTCCCTTGGCGCACTCAGTGGCCATGGTGTGCATATGCGACGTCAGGATGCCCCGACAGGCATTGTGGAAGGGCGTGTTGCCGGGGAACAGATGGGAGGGCAGCGCTGCAAACGTCGGCGGCAGCATATACGAATAAAACTGAACCAACACGGCGGACCGCACCACAACCAGACAGACAGACGTGCAGGTGCTGTCGGTATACGTAGATAGTCAGTATGTCTGTGTGTGTGTCTTGTCTTGTCGGCTGTCGCTGTGTACTGACTTGTGCCATGAGGCTCTCCGGTAGCCGCTCGGTGAGGAAGTGGCCTAGTGGCGAGTCGCGCGGGACGTCATTGGTGAGTTCGGACATGGCGGCCGTCCACCCCTCCAGCGCATAACGGACTCGCTTCTTGCTCCCCTGCAGATACGAGTGGTACGCTGCACACACACACACAGACAGACAGACGCCACCCACAAGCAAAGGCGACCATAGTTGTTCACACGGTTATGTGCGGGTGGGTTGCGTACTTCGGATGACGGTGGCGGTAGCTGGTCTGGATCGAAGGTCGGGCGGGATGGGGTCGATGAGGGCCCCCATGCGCATGTAACTCATCAGACGGCCGGGGGAACCAAACAATGCCTCACGCCACAACGGGGTCTGACACATCACACACACACATACACACCCATGGTCGTGTGTATCGGGGTGCGTGCGCATCTCCCTCCCTCCCTCCCTCCCTGCCCCACCAACTTCACTTACCCGTGGGATGTGCGAGTTGACGGGCCAGAAGGTCTTCATCAAACACATGTTGACCAGCACCCCCACCAACCTGGCATACATACATACAAACAAAATGCGACACCGTGCACCACATTCCAGTCGATCAACACATGCCATTATGCCGTCTGGTGCACCCACTGATTTCGATCCCCAGACGCCACCGCATCGCTCACAGCCCTATACTGCTCCGCTGACACGCTGATGGTCGGTGGGGGTGTGCTGCCGGGCCCACCACGGCGCACCGCGGTCGGGATGCCCTGCGGCCTGTAGAGGCTCAAGAGGCTCTGCGGGCGGCCATCGTGGCGGCGGATGTCGTGGGTGTCGGCCCCGTGGGACACGAGCACACTCAGCAGGTGCGCCGGCTCGAATGCGAGTGGGCGAGTGGCGATGAGATTGTAGAGCATGCCGAGGGCGGTCTCGCCGGCGTGGTTGCGGGCGGAGGGGTCGACGCCCTGCGAGAGAAGGAAGCCCACGACGTCCTCACGACCCGCTGCACACAACGCAAGGAAAGGCAAGACAAAAGAACGGGGGGAAATGCAATGCGTCGTCATGGCATCTCTGCACGTGTTTGACGGGTGACCTACCTGATCCCTGGCGGATGCTGCACACACACACGCACACACACGGGGACACACATACAGAGTGGGCACGGGTGCAGGTTCTCTCGTCAGTGCCCGTGTTGCTCTTCTCCCCCCACCCCCCCTTCGCCTCGCCCCGCCCCGCCCCACCTTCGATGCAGCAGCGTGTTGCCCTTGGTGTCGCGGATGTTGGTGTCCATCCCGTTGGCGAAGAGCTTGCGCAGGAGCGGCTTGTCGTGGAACCACCTGTGCATCCAGTCGCCGTCGCCCAGGACGATCTCGTTCCAATGGATGAAGACGGGCGGGTCCACAAAATGAACATTGGCGGGGTCAGCGCGGTTGCGGGTGAAGCCCTTCACACAGACACAGATGCACACAGACACATGGGTGTGGTGTGTTTGTGTGTGCGAGTTGATGTTGTCGATGTCGTCAATAATAATTACCCATGGGGCGCCTCCTCGTTTGAATAGCGCCTCGAGCACCAGGTCGAAGGCCGCACTGCACGTGGTCGACCCGCCACACTCCTAACACACACACATACAAACATACAAACAGACAGACAGACAGACAGGCAAGCAGGCAGTGCCGCACGGCTGTCGCCCCACTTCTCTCCTCTGCCTGCCTGCCTGCCTGCCCGCCTGCCCTTGTGTTGAGGCCGCAGTGTGTCAAGTGCCCACAGAGAGAGGCAGTGAGTGAGAGACACTGTCAGACTGACCCTGGCTTTCTTGATGAGTCGATGCAGCGGCAGATGGCCCTCGAGGTTGGCCATGCTCGCCACTCTGTCCGGCACCCTCGGCGCGTCGGGGTAGTGTCTGCCCTCCTTGAGCAGCAGCAGTGAGCCGTCGGGCTGGCGGCGGATGCGGAGGATGGTCAGGATGGCGTCGACGGCGGGGTTGTAGGACCCGTCGGGCTTGACGACGGGCCGCGTGAAGTCCTGGAGTGACATCCTGTTGATGACCGTGTGGAGGATTGTGTCGCCGTTGGGGTGGATGTCTGAACACATGCACACACACAACCAGACCACATACATCGGTGGATGTGCTGGTCTGCCTGTGGACCTGATCAATCTACCTGTGAGGTCAGAATTGGGGACTTTGATGAGCTGCCGCACCAGCGGCATCGGCAACGTCTGGCGAAGCGAGAACCGCCCCACACGCGCACCACCGTCAATCAGCTTCTGGACGCACTCGGCAATCAGGGCCCTCTCAGCCTGTGTGCAGGGGCCCTCTCTGTTGGCGAGAATGGACAGCGGGGAGCTATCGTCATCGGTGAGGTTGATGTTCGCCAGAGGGATGAGCGTGTCGACGAGCGCCAGGTACTCGGCGCGACCGGCCATCGTGACCTTGAGAATGAGCTGGCATGCGTCTCTGAGGACGGTGATGAGCTCAGGTTGGGGAATGAGGCCGTGCAGCACCAGCTGGTTGACCAGGGACCAATCGCCTGACAGCGGGAGGTGGCGGGGGGGAAGGGGTCAGGTACAAATTGGCGATGGGGGCCTGGTCTGTCGGGTGGTTCTGGTCGTGTTGGTACCTTTGAAGAGGAGGAAGCGAATGACAGACGCCATCCGGTCGGGGAAGAACTACACACATTAGACAAAGAGAGAGACAGCGCGAACACACAGACACAGACACATGCATCCAGCCAGCCAGTCATCCTCACGACCGTCTATCCTCCCTCCCTCACCCACGCCCGACTTGCTTACTTGTCTCATATCGTTTTCCTTGACGATGCCCCTGGACATGATCATCTTGGCGACGGCAGGGCGGGGGTAAATCATGGCCTTGATCTGCTCCCGCACCCCCTCATCGTTGAGGTCGCCTCGGGTGAGCAGAGCCTCGAGGTCCATCCGCAATGAGTCGCCCATGGCCTCTCGCTGCCTGAGGACGTCCTTGAGGCTCTTCCCCAGGAACCTCCACCCGTCCACGGGCGTGCTGCCGTCCGCTTCCGTGATACAGTTCACCGACCTAAAGAGAGAAGAAAGGTGCGTGAGTGGATGAATGGATGGATGGATGGAGTGTGGGTGGTGGGTGAGAGCTGGGTGGATCTACCAGTTGCATCGGGGACATCGGTGGACGTGGCTGCATGATGAGGATCTGATGAGCTCGTTGTCCCTGCTGTCCAACACATTGTCCTGACCACCGCCCCAATACACACACACACACACAATGAGAGAGAGGAGTCATCCCATATCGACACACACATTCACGCAGTATGTGTGTTTGTCGGTGGTGTTTGCCGCACGCACCAGGTCTGCCTCAAAGGCTTCCTCTGCCCTCTCGAGACCGCCGAGAGTCTCGAGTGGCCTGCTGGCGAAGCACCTTCCGCACAGCAGGTGGCCGCACGGCTGCAGACACACCGCCGGCTCGCCAACCTTACACAAGCAGCACTTGGTCGGATCCCCTGGGCTCTCAGGCCTGGCACACACAGACACACGTCCAGCCACCACGTGTGTCTGTGTGGGGTGGGGGGGGTCATCTTCATCACTGTCTGTCCTGTCTGTGCTTGCCGACTTCCCCGCTCACTCTGCGGGTATGTTTGGGGCCCGTCTGGACCTGAAAAACCCCAGGCCATCCTTCGGCAACCGGCCGGCCAGCCTTTCCTTCATCGGCCGCATGTCCTCGTCGGAGTCGGAGTCGTCATCGTCCCGGCCGTTACGGTCGTCATCCATATCCATCCCATCAGCGACGTCCGATAGGTCCATCCGCCATGTCCTTGAATGCCACCTGATGGGACCACCACCACCACCTGCTGCTGCTGCTGCTGCCGCTGCTGGTGGTGGTGGTGCTCCTGCTGCGGCACTGGCGGCAGCTGCTGGGGCACTGGCGGCAGACGTTTCTCTGTTGGCTGGGGATGGTGGAGCCGACGCTGACCTGTTGGGGGCGGCCGAGGGGCTGGTGGGTGCTGCCGACACCCACCGGGGGACGCTGCTCGAACGACCGCGCGATGGCCCACCGCTGCAGCCATTAAGGGGACGGAAAGACAGACAGTGAGAGTGAGAGTGAGGGGCGAATACTCGTATCTGGCAGCGTCTGTCTCCCGCCTCCACCCAGCCGCCCACCTTTCCTCCTCGGTGTCGCGTGCTGGTTGGGGCCGAGACGGCACCCCGCTAAGAAACGCCACCCCGCTAGGAAACGGCCCACCGAGGTTCTGCATCCTGCCACACCACCCACTGGGCAGCGTCGCCAGCTGACCCCTCGGCCTGCATGCAGCACAAAGACACCTCAGACACGTGCCGCTTCACATGGGTGTCTGTGTGTCTGTGTCTGTGTCTGTGTCTGTGTGTGCGTGTGCGTGTGCGTGTGCGTGTGCGTGTGCGTCTGTATGGAGTGAGTGCTTTGCTCACATGAGCCGCCCTGTCCAGGCTTTCGAGGACGGCGCTGCTGCTGCTGCTGCTGGTGGTGGTGATGCCCCTGCTGCGGCACTGGCGGCAGCTGCTGGGGCACTGCGCAGCGTCGCTACCTGTTTCCTCGGCCTGCATGCAGCACAACGACACCCAGTGACGCTTCACATGGGTGTCTCTGTGTGTGTGTGTGTGTGTGTGTGGAGTGAGTGCTTTGCTCACGCCTTGCCCCCCGTCGCCTTGCGCCCCGTCAAGACTTTCGAGGACGGCGCTGCTGCTGCTGCCGCTGCTGCTGCTGGTGGCGCTGGCGGTTGTGCTGGCGCTGGCCCGTTGTCGTAGAAGTCCCTGAGACTCTGCCGCTGCGATGTGGGACTCTGCAGGGATGGATGGATGGACGCAGCACCGGTGCATCAAACACACATAGCACAGCAAACACAGAAGGGGAGAGAGAGTGACGCAGGCAGGTTGGTTTGGTCGTCTGTCTGTCTGCCTGTCTGTCTGTCTGTCGTGTCTGTGAGTTTGTCGGCGGACGGCGCACATTCGTGTCGGCCCAGGGGTCGTGAGAGGTCACGAAGAACCCCAGGATACGAATCTGCACACACACCACAACACACCACACCACACCACAACACACCACAACACATATGACATCCATCCATCCATCCAGCCACTGATACATCGGTGTGGTGTGGTGTGGTGTGGTGTGGTGTGTGGGTACGTCTGAGGGCGGGTTGCGGTACTCGACGGTGACGTTGCTGACGGTGTGTGTGAGGAAGTATCTTGTCACCTGCACACACACACACACACACACATGGATCAGATGGACTGTGTGTGTGTGTGTGTGCGGCCGAGTACATCTCTGGGCTCTTCTCGCTCGGCCTGCTGCCTCTTGAATCGGATCGCCAGCTGCACCCAACATACACACACACGGGTGGCTGCTGTGTTGCGTGTGTATGTGTGTGTGTGTGTGTATGTGCCCACCTCGCTGTTGACGGTCACATCCAGTTCCTCAGGCCACGTTTGTCTGGGGGAGGAGTCGTGGGCCGACAGACACCGCACGACAATCGCCTGCCGCTCCCTGAGCATAGCGAACATGACGTGGCATGTGTGTGTGCGCGCGGATGTCTGTGTTGCGTGCATGGCTGACCACCACAGGCGCCCGTCAAGAAGTCTCTCCATGTCGATGAGGTGGTCCCGTCTGTCTTTGCCGCCACCCAGCGCACATAACCACATGGGACGCCCAACCTGCCATCCATCCATCCATCCATCCGTCCATGCCCACGACGACACTCGTGTCCTGTGCTGCAGTGTGCTGTGTGTGGCGAATGTGTGTACTAATTGTCTGCCAGGGTCCATCTGTCGGAAGCGGCACATGTGGCAGACGAACAGGCGCCTCTCGCCGTAGTACTGCACGCACCCCTCGTGCTGCACACACACACACACACACACACAGAGCTACACACATCAAGCGTCTCGTTTTGTTTCCTTTTCCTTCTCCCGTGCGTACGTATATCTGCTGGCACAGTGTGCAGGGAAGGGTGGCTCCTCCTTGCTCACCCACATCTGCCATTCTGTCCACCATCCACTGGCACAGACACGCATCAGACACCACGCCATTGCCACCGCCACCTCCTCCTCCGGCCGAAGCAGCAGCAGCGGCAGCCGACGCACTGGATGACGCCGGCTGGTCGTTGTCGACTGGGGACGTGTGTGTGAGGTGCATTCACATTAACACAGATGCACTGCCTGTCGCCCTGCTTGCGCCTCCTCCTTCCCTCACCTCTGCATCTCTGATGCGGACCTTCTCATTGTTGTGCAGGTGACACGTTGGCTCTTGGGTTTTCCAAACCCTTGACCCAAAACCCTTGACCCAAAACCCTGAAAGGAACCGAAGTTTGAGAGATCTGCGTTTTTTCTCTCCTCCCCTCTCTTCCCCTTCGTCCCCTCCTCCCTCGCCATCGAGTGTGACCCTCCCAGCACACACGCCGCCGACGCTCACCATCAGCACCTTTTTCTCTATCCGACCAGCCATGCCAGCCATGCAGCCGCGCCTCTTGATCAATCTTGCTGTGCCCCTCCTCCTGCTCAGCGGCTATCCCGCCTCGGTGAGCGGGCAGGTGGGTAACGCCACTGTGACAGCGGAGGTGCTGAATGTGACTGGAGGGGCGGAGTTCGACGAGATCATCAAGGGCAACCGATACGTGATGGTCATGTTCTACGCCCCCTGGTGTGGGTGGTCTCAGCGGACCCTGCCTGCGATGGACACCGCGGCGGCGAATCTGACCTCGCACGAGCCGCCTGTCAAGTTCATCAAGGTCGACTGCGAGGCCGACGGCAACCCCGACGTGTGCGACAGATATGCTCTGCCGGGCTACCCGAGCCTCAGGCTCTTCATAAAGGGCAAGACGCCCGCTACTTTTGACGGATACCATCCGGCGGACGAGATCATCGAGTTCATCACCAACACGACCGCAGCGGATCAGGTAGGTGGGGTGGGCTCGACGAGCAGACAGCGACTTGTCGATCAGACGTGGTCACGGATGCACTTATGATGGCGTGTCTGTGTCTGTTGTGGTGTGGTGTGTGTGTAGGCGGGTGAGACACTTGAGACAAATGGGGAGGTCGACGATGTGAACTTGCGGAGGATGACGCCAAGAGGTGCGCATGGACTGAGATACAGCTTTCTGTGCACTCACTCACTCATCGTTGTTTGTTTGTTTGTTTGTTTGTTTGCAGGGCAGAGGTTCCATCTCAGGAGGGCCGACAACGTCGCGGCGCCCTTTTGAGTGCAGTGCGCCGTCTGAGTGATTGAGAGAGGCTTTATCATCCCTTTATCCATTCCTGGTTCGTTTCGTGGCACGTGATGTGTGTGATGATATCGGGTGATGTGTGTGTGTGTGTGTGTGGTGGGCGTTGTGAGAGTAGTGTGCAGTGTGATGTGTGATGTGTGGTGGTTTGTGTGTCTGAGTTGGTCTGGTCGGTCTCTCGCTTAGTCAGCTGGCTGAGAGTGGTCGGGTGGGTGGTAGGTTGCGGCTCACACCAGAGGGGTGGTCACTCACTCATTCACTCACTCAGCATACATAGCATAGCATAGCGACGTCCATCAATCAGGTGGCAGTGGCGACACTCACACCACATGGTGTCAGCACTCTGCTGACATGGATGCTGCATCCGTAGACAAGCCTTGACACAACTATCTAGCTGCATGACGCGGTCGGTGGGAGAAGAGACCCTTTTTGTTCAACCTTCATGGCACTCCTGACTCGAAGGTTCAAACCCTGGAAGCCGAAAACCCTGAATCGTGAAACCTCTGCCCAAAAGCAGCTTCATCGGCCTCATCTCCGTAGAATAGCCGGAGCACTGATCTGCGCTTCCTGACGACCATGCTTCACCCCGACCTCTCAGCGCTGGTCTGGTATCTTCTCCTGCCCTTCATCGCCGAGCTGCCCTCCCTGTCCATCGCCTTCACATCACTGCACCAGATCGATGAGTGGCGGTCACTCCCATCTCACAAACTGAGGCGGCGTGCTTCGGTCCGCCTGCTGCTGATGTCGAGTGACGGCGGTGCGTTGGGTCAGCCCAAACCTCAAGAGGCCATTGGTTCCAAACAGCTGTTGACACCCCGGCTCAAGACCAGGGACAGAGTGCGCGAAGACGAGGCACAGGTACATAAGAGAAGGACATGAATGGTGTGTGCGAATGGCCTCGGTCTGTCCGTCTGCGGATGCGTGTGCCCGTGTGTGTGTGTGAGTGTGCATGTCAGCCGTGGAGTGACGAGGAGCTGGTGCCCGAGGAGACCGCTGTCTTCGGCACCAAGAAGAAGCTCCCACAAGGCATGGTCAGGAAGGAGGCAACCATTCAGAGCCGTCAGTCAGTCAACACACACACACACACACACTCTCTCTCTCTCTGTGTGTGTGTGTGTTTCTTCCAGGTGATAGTGTATGACGATCCCGAGTACACGGAGGACGGCTTTGTGGCCGCCCTGTGCAGGCACGTCCCCCACATGAGCATCGATCAGGCGCGGCAGCTCTGGACAACCGTCCAGAAACACTCAGAGGCCGTCGCATACGAGGACGCCATCGTAAGCAAAGCAAGGAAAGAGTGTGCGCGCGATTCCTGCGTGGGTGTTGACTGACTGGCTGCAGGCGCGTGTTGAGGATGTGGCGTTGAATCTGCGCATCCATGATCCCATGGTGGTGGCTGAAGCGGTGCCCGTCACAGAGAGCCTCGACGAGAAAACCCGCAGCAGGCGGACCAGGCTCAAGGACAGGGAACAGGGCTAGCCGACAGACAGGACGATTGTTGATGTGTGGTTGGTGTGTGAGTGTGTGTTTGTGTGCGTTGGTGACTAACAAGCCGGTGCTCCAGCAGGGAGGGAGGAGCCAGGGCTGTGTGCAGACAGGCAGACAGACAGGTGTCGTCTCGTAAGTCCGATTTGTTGTTCCTGGTCTATTTGTGCAGTGAAAGACGCGGAAGTCGGTCGCATGATGCACTATTTGTCTGGACGGCTGAGTCCATCTTATGCCGGCTGGCCATTGACGTCTTCATTCTTCGACTGACACGCCCTCATGTCCTTTTCCATCAACGCAATTCCATGCGCACCCACCCACGACACACAGAAGTAGCAAACACACACTTTATCCTCTCATCGCCGATTGTCCACTCAAAAAGCCATCCAACCAGTCCTCCCGTGGTCCGTTCAGCCCCCCCGCACTCACCCCACATCAAACTTGCTCATCAAGGCCAGTGACCCATGAGCGAGGGTACGAAGCCACACAACCAAAATCGCCCGACCTGCATGCATCTGGAGCTGCCTGCCCTGCCTCTGCTCCTGTGTACCTTATGCCCACACACTCACATACACACATAAACAGCCGACCTACTGACTTAAATCCCTCCCTCATACAGTACAAAAGCCTTTGCTGTGGACCTTCTCTCTGCGTCACATCCATCCATCCATCCATCACTCATCGTCTACGACGTCCTTCCACCAGGAGGCCACCGTAGACCGCCAGAACGACGTGGCCACGGCGAAGTAGGCGGCCATCAGCGACAGCGCCAGGGGGTCTTTCACCTGGACACCCGCCATACTCCAAGATACTACATCAAAAAGAATCTCAAGGCAGCTGTACAGAGAGCCGCCAACGGCGAGGCCCAGACCCATGCAATTGAAATCCCGCACTCTCACATCCCGCAGCCTCATGGGACCCTTTTTTCTCCTGCCGTGGTTTTGTCCAGCTGTTCTCGAGCAGTCGTACATCCGCCGGCACGTCACCTGATTGATCAACGCCACACACACAGACAAAAAGATGTCCACGGATGTGGATGTGCATCCGGCCACCGCTTACGATCTCTCGGTATGGTGTTGGATTCCGGGATCTTGTTCCACCAGTACAGGATGGCGGGCACCAGCACTGCGATAACGGGGAGCCGAGAAGGCACGGCAACGGCGTCAACCTCGACACTCGCCAACTTGGCCACGATCTCAGGGCTGCTCAAGCTGCACGTGGATGCACATACAGACAGACGCACACGCACACGCACACGCACACATACGTCATCTACGATGCGGCCAGCCTTGTCAGTTAGTCACCTGATGTCAACGGCGCTGATGTACTCCAAGAGTATGGGCCCAATGATGTCGGAGAATTGAAAGACGAGGATGATGAGTAACGCACCCACGTTGACACAGGCGATGTCCCGTTGGCTGAGATGCTTGTAAAGGTTGGATCTGCCAGCACTCAGGGCGGTCAGCGGCCTCCCTCCGGATGACGTCGGTGTGGGCTGCGGTTGGTGTGCCAGTCGGATGGGCCCTGTCTGTGTCAGTCGGATGGGCCGGACGAAGGCCGCAGACGACGGCAGCGACAGGGCGACGGACAGAAGAAGCAGCACAATGGGCAGCCTGCAGACAAGGCAGACAGTGCGGCCACACCCGTCTGTGTTGCATTTGTGTGTGACTCTCGCGCACCTCCACACAGACGCCATCGATCTGTCCAGCTCCTTGATCAGCGGGTGGGCCTCCCGAGAGGGCAGCAGGCTGCTGCTTGTCTTGTGAAGGAAGGAGTCAACCTACAGCACAGAAACCAATAGACGCATCACAATCCACGCATCATCTGCACGAAACGAAGCATGCCGGCGCATACCTTCGCAAGAACCACGATGAGCCGGGAGACTTCTGCAGGTCCCCACGAGCCTCCTTCCAGGGCTTTAAGCCAGGTTGCGCCAAACGATGTGCGAGCTTGGAGTGACGTCGGTCGGTCGTCGTTAAGGGTTTGACGAGACACCTGTCCCTAAGCCCAGCGCTACTCGGCATCTTCTCTGTCCACAGAACACACCAAACAGGCAACAGGTACACGCAGAATGCAATGGACGTCGCATGGCTCAAGACCTCCCAGCACAACAGTCCTCCCGTGGTCCGTCCAAGCCACCCGCTCTCACCCCACATCAAACTTGCTCATCAAGGCCAGTGACCCATGAGCGAGGGTACGAAGCCACACAACCAAAATCGCCCGCCCTCCTGCACCTTCAGCTGCCTGCCCTGCCTCTGCTCCTGCGTGTACCTTAATGTGCTCTGCCGCCAAGCACTCACATACACACATAAACAGCCGACCTACTGACTTAAATCCCCCTCATACGTATGAAAACCTTTGCTGTGGACCTTCTCTCTGCGTCACATCCATCCATCCATCCATCCATCACTCATCATCGTATGCGACCGCCTTCCACAAGAAGGCAATCCAATTCCCCCAGAACAACGTGGGCAAGGCAAACGTTAACATCGCCGACAGCACGAGTGCGGCCCCCTCGGCACCCCCCATACTGTAAGATGCTACAGCATAAAAGGCCTCGAAGTAGCTGTACAGCAGACAGCCGACGGTGATGCCCAGACCCACGCAATTGCGATCCCGCAGCCTAATTGCTGTTTCTCCTGCCGCTGGTCTTGTCGAGCTGTTCTCGAGCAGTTGTACATCCGACGGCACGTCACCTGATTGATCAATGACACACACATGCACAAAGAGATGTCCACGGATGTGCATGTGCATCCGCCCACCGCTTACGATCTCTCGGTATGGTGGAGCTTTCCGGGATCTTGCTCCACCAGAAGACGATAATGGGCACCACCAGCAGTGTGGTCGCGGCGAACCGTGAAAGCACGGCAGCGGCGTCAACCTCGACACTCGCCAACCTTATCACGATCTCTTGGCCGCTCGAACTGCACGCAGATGCACACACAGACAGATACGGATAAGCCGATTGACTGATTTACGATGCAGCCACCCTCACGCAAGATACCTGATGTCAATGGCGGCGATGTACTGCACCAATATGGCGGCCGTGAGGAACAACAACCGAGAGATCAGGACGCCGCTTAATGCCCCCACGTTGACACAGGCGATGTCCCGCTGGCTGAGATGCTTCTTAAGGTTGAATCTGCCAGCACTCAGAGCGGTCACCGGCCTCCCTCCGGCTGATCTCGGTGTGGGCTGCGGTTGATGTGCCACTCGGATGGGCCCTGTGTGTGTCAGCCGGATGGGCCGGACGAAGGCCGCAGACGACGGCAGCGGTGACAGGGCGACGGACAGAAGAAGCAGCACAATGGGCAGCCTGCAGACAAGGCAGACAATGCGGCCACACCCGTCTGTGTTGCATTTGTGTGTGACTCTCGCGCACCTCCAGACAGACGCCATCGATCTGTCCAGCTCCTTGATCAGCGGGTGGGCCTCCGAGAGGGCAGCAGGCTGCTGCTTGTCTTGTCGAAGCAGTCAACCTACAGCACAGAAACCAAGAGAGAGATGTCACACGCATCACAATTGACGCATCATGTGCACGAAACGAAGCATGCTGGCGCATACCCTCGCAACAACCACGATGGGCCGGGAGACTTCTGCTGGACGTAAGACGGAAAAAGGCCTCAAAAGCTCCGTTTCCGGGCTTTAGGGCAGGCCGCGCCAAACAATATGCGAGCTTACGAGTGACGTAGATCCGGCGTGATAGTAGTGAGGCTCTTCACCGCCGCCATGAACGCCCAGACGATCCGAGAGAAGATCACCGCCGCCGTCAAGGAGAACTTCAAGAGCGAAGAGAAACGTACGCAGCGGTGGCCACACAGACAGACAGTCAGGACCACAGATGGCCACAGGCAGACGCACAGACATGGCTGCAAGATCTCCGCAAGCACACTGCCATTGCACTGTTTGTGCCGCGTGTGTGCGTGTGTGTTGTGTGCGCAGCGTTTGTGAATCCGTATGCGGGCGAGAAGAGCACTGTGTTGCTGGAGACCCGCGCCTTCAGCGAGCCGCACCTCAACGCCAAGAAATGCTGCCACCTCCTCACCAAAGTCCTATACCTCATCACACAGGTGAGCACAACACACCACACAAACACAGATAGCAAGGCGCACCTGTCTGTCTGTGTGTGGGATGGGGTGTGTGTGTGTGTGTCAGGGGGAGAAGTTGTCGTCGAAGGAGACGACAGATTTGTTTTTCGGTGCGACCAAGCTGTTCCAGTCGAGCAGCGAGCGGCTGCGGCGGATGACGTACCTCCTCATCAAGAGCATCAAAGTCAGCGAGACAGAGGTCTTCATCGTCACATCCACACTCACTAAGGTGAGGGAGATACACACAGATGGATGATTGATTACGCAGATACACACGCTGGCTGATGGGATGGGTGCCGGAGATGCTAAATCTGTGTGTGTGTGTGTGTGTGTGCGTGTGTGTGTGCAGGACATGAGCAGCAAGTCTGACTGCTACCGTGCGAATGCCATCCGTGTGTTGAGCCGCATTCTGGACCCCTCAATGGCCGCACAGATCGACAGATACCTCAAAAACGTACACACACAAACGAACAAACAGAGACGCACAGGCCAATGAGCCCATACGTGTGACTGACGCTGTGTCTGTGTGCGTCCGTTTCAGGCCATAGTGGACAAGAGCCCCTTCGTGGCGTCGGCGGCCATCATCTGCGGCATCAACCTCATGAGATCTGCACCCGAAGTCGTCAGAAGGTGGCTGACTCACTGACTGACTGACTGACTGCACGGGACACGCACTCACACCACACACCACACACACAGACGACCGACGACTGTGCTGCCTGCCATGTGTGTGCCTGCTGTGTCTGTCTGCCAAGGTGGGTGAATGAGGTGACGGAGAGCGTGTCGTCCAAGAGCCCCATGGTGCAGTTCCATGCACTGGGCCTCCTCTATGAGCTCAAGAGGAACGACCGGCTGGCGCTCCACAAGGTGGTCTCGCAACTCACCAAGTCGTTCGGCAAAAGCCCCATGGCAGAGTGCCTACTCATCAGGTATGTAGTGCGGTGCATGGCATGGCCACACCCACCACACGGAGAGACAAAGACAGAGAGAGGCATTTCCCCACGGTGGACACGTGTGTGTGTGTGTGTGTTTGTGTGGGTGTGTAGGTATGCCACCCAGGTGCTCAAGGCGGAGCGAGACTCGGCCCTTGAACACGTAAAGCGATGAATAAGCCGACAGAGCAGCACTCCGGGAAAGGACACCAGAATGGACATTCTTGTCTGTCTCCTTTTCTGTCTGTATTTGTGATAGGCGTTGATGGATTACCTGGAGAGTTGTCTGCGGCACAAGAGCGAGATGGCCATGTTTGAGGCCGCCAAGGCATTCTGCGAGCTGGCAGTCGTCGACGAGCAGGGCTCGGGCGGCGCCACTGTGTTCGGATACGACATGCTGCCAGCACTCACAGGTACGTACCTCTGCTCACCAGCCCAATGTGTTGCAGGGCGAGGTATGCAGTCGCTCTGTGTGCGTGTGCGTGTGTGTGTGTGGTGTGCAGTGCTTCAGATATTCCTGACGTCGCCCAAGCCTGTGGTCAGATTCGCCTCCATCAGAATGCTCAACAAGGTCACACTCAAACGCATCAGCGACCACTCCATCTGTGTGCATCCGCCTATGTGTGTGTGTGTGTGTGTGTCAGTTGGCCCAAGTCCGCCCGCACGTCGTGTCCCGCTGCAACGTGGACATGGAGCCGTTGCTGACCGACCAGAACAGAAACATCGCCACGCTGGCACTCACCACGCTCCTGAAGACGGGACACGAATCAAATGTCGATCGACTCATCAAACAGATCACAACCTTCATGACCGGTGGGTGGGTCAACCAGCCACACAGAGCCACACAGACGCGTGCAGGCCTCCCTCCCTCCATCCCCTCTCCCCTGTGTGTGTGTGTGTGTAGAGATATCTGACAACTTCAAGGTAGAGGTGGTTCGTGCAGTGAAGACGTTGTGCCTGACTTACCCCAGCAAGTACAAGGTGCTGATGGCCTTCCTGTCGTCCAACCTGCGGGAGGAGGGCAGCGCAGAGTTCAAAAAGGACATCGTCGACGCCCTCATCCTACTCGTCGAACAAATTCCACAAGTGGGGGGGGGCGGTGGGTGCACACAAAGGCAAAGAGAGACAGAGAAGGCACTCATGTGTGTGTGATTGGATGTGTTGTGTATGTGTGTTTGTGTGTGGCATTTAGGCGAAGGAGACGGGATTGCTGCATCTGTGTGAGTTCATTGAGGACTGCGAGTACCCATCGCTCTGCACCAAGGTGCGTACTTCGCGCACACACACGCGTGCGGGTGGATGCATTGGCTTCGTTCCCCGTGTCTGCGTGCAGATTTTGTCGTTTCTTGGCAACGAGACGCCCACCACATCGTCGCCATCGAAGTTCATCCGGTTTATCTACAACAGACTCATTCTGGTGGGGGGGTTCATCGATAACACGACGGACACGGAGCCATTTGCAGCGTCTGTGTCACATATGGATGTGATGTGTGGTGTGTGGGTCGCATGGCGTGCAGGAGAACGCCTTGGTCCGCGCCGCTGGTGTGGATGCGCTCACCAAGATCGCACTCAAATGCCCCACACTCAAGAAAGACATTCTCACACTCCTGGAGAGGTGACGATGCCACTCAGCACAACGGAACACCACACACATGAGAAAAGCACGCGTCGACCCATGTGTGTGTGTGTGCGTGTGTGTGTGTCCACCTAAGCTGCACGACTGACAACGACGATGAGGTCCGCGACCGCACCAACCTCTACTGCAACATGCTGGAGGGAAAGATGGGCGGCAAGGTTGGTCAAGACGACACACATCACATCACGCCACCCCTCACTACACACATCACATCAAGGCAATCCTTGTCCCTTTTTGTGTGTGCGCGCGCGTGTGTCTGCAGGATGGTGACTTGTTGGTAGAGTTCAACGGGGTGTTGATGAAGGCCGACCTCGAGTTTTCCCTCGACGCCCTCTGCCAGACGCTGGAGGCGCACATCGCTGCACAGCCTGAACTCCCATTCGACGTCAAGGCGGTGCCCACTGAAGGTATACCTCTCACACACAGAGGCACGCAGATCCATGGGTATCTATAGGCATATGTGTGTGTGTTTGTGTGTGTGTGTGTGTGTGTTTAGAGGCGTATGAGTCTCAGAAGGCGGCCATGCAGGCCATCAACGCCGCCAAGCAGCAGGCACAAACTAAGGCCAAAGAGGTCAGTCAGTCAGTCAGTCAGCCACACCACAAACAACACGCTTCAGTCATGTGTTTGCTGGTGTCTCAGCCCACCAAGGCACCTGCTGCCGGCAAAGCGGAGGCCCCTGTGAGAACGGGATGTCACGGGACGGAACGCACCACCGGCCATCTATTCATCCATCTCTCTCTCTCTGTGTGTGTGTGTGTGTGTGTGTGTGTGTCAGTCGCCTGTGTCGGCCCCCTCGGCCCCCGACATCGCCGCCAAAGTTGCAGACCTCATCTCAGCTGAGGACCTCGGTGCGTCAGTAAAAAGACACACATACACCGCACACCACAGACAGACAGATCGATGCATCTCTCTCTCTCTCTGTGTGTGTATGTGTGGCTTGTCAGGTGCTCTTCAGCACAGCTGCAAGCCCAAGTTGGCGACGGAGAGCGAGGCCGAGTACGTGGTGCAGGTCATCAAACACATGTACATCAACCACGTCGTTCTCGAGTTTGTCACCACCAACACTCTACAAGACCAGGTGGGTATCCACACACACCACACACCACCCCACCCAACTCACCCCACACAACTCGCTCGCACAAGGTGTGATGTGATGTGATGTCATCGGTGTGTGTGTGTGTGTGTGTGTGTGTAGGTGTTGGAGGATGTTGACATCAAGTTCACCATCGGGGACCCCTCGTCGTGGGGCGAGCTGGGCCGCCTGGGCATCGAGGCACTGCCATACGACAGACCCGCATCGGCATATGTCGTACTGCAGAAGATGCATGAGGGCGACGACGGTGAGAGAGAGCGAGAGACCCTTGGGGGAATGCATCACGGAAATGACGCGTGGCTCGATTTGCGGCGTCTGCAGGTTTGCGCACGCTCCTGGGGACGTTTCAAGCGGCTCTCGACTACACCGTCAAAGAGGTGACGTGATAACAAACACAACAGACACAACAAGGCGGGCCGGTTGGATCCTGTGCGTGTGTGTGATGGGGTGCACTGCACACGTGACGAATCTGCAGGAGGGTGATGACTTGGGCTATCGCGACACATACCCCATGGAGAATGTCACCATTGCAATGGGTGGGCGGGTGGGCGGGCCGTGTGTGCCACACGAGACGAGCGAGGGGAACCCCCCAACAGACAGACAGCAACCATCTATCTATCTCTTCCTGTCTGCAGGCGATTACATGGTCCCCCGTCACCTGCGCCCCGGCGAGTTCAAATCTATGTGGGAATCACTCCAACAGGTACACACACATACACACAAACACCCATGGCCTCCCCCCTGTCTGTCTGTCTGTCTGTCTGTGTGTCTCCCTCCCACCAGGCCGACGAGGCGGTGTCCAAGTTCAGCTTGAACTTCAAGACGCTCGAGAGCGCCGCCACCGGCCTGACCACCTCACTCAACATGGCACCGTGCGACAAGTCAGACAAGGTGGACACCACGGCCAGGGGGCACACACTCCTGCTGAGCGGCACCTTCATCGGCGGACTACAGGTCGGAGGGGGAGGGGCATTCATTCAGACCCAGACGGAGCAAGCCCTTGTGCATGTGTGTGTGTGTGTGTGTGTGTTACGATGGATGCAGGTGTTGTGCAAGGCGCTGATTGGTTTGGATCAGAGCTACGGCTGCCTACTCAAGGTGCGCGGCGGGGGGGGAGGGAGGGACAGATCGATGGCTGGATGCGTCGCACACACTGCTGGCATATATGGATGGATGGCATGGTGTGTGTGGGTGGGTGCATTGCGTTGGCTGCAGCTTGCGTGTCGGTCCAAGAACCCCGCGGCGAGTCAGGCCATCGTGCACTCAGTCGAGTAGTGAGTGAGTGAGTGACTGACACACTCAGGGACTCACTGACTGACCGACTGATCAATTGGCTGACTGAGTGAGTGACTGACCGCTTTGTCTCTCTGACTGTCCATCCCTGTGCCCGCTGTTGTTGTCGGTCATTGCCGCCTTTAATTCATCCATCGACTCGGTTCATTAACCGTATTGTCTGTCATAAATGAGATCCTGGGTCTTCCCCCACCCTCGGCCCTCAACGCGGTCATCGTGGCCCTCCGCACGCTGCCAGTGATCACACACAGCTAGCAGTAATTGATTGTGTATCCAGCCAGCCTGAAATCTATGATGAAGGTCTCACACTCACACATGAATGGACGGGCACGACAGACGCTACAGACAGACAGACAGACAGAAGAGATCGAGGCGCCTCGCTCGCTCGCTCACGCATTTGATTGATCGGCAAACTGTCTTTTACGACACGTACGCACCACCCTCTCTCTCTCTTCCCCCCACTGTTCTCACTTGCCATCTGCCGTGGCAATCAAAAAATACCCGCCAGTGGTCGGTCGATCACAAAAATGATACAAGGTCACATGCATATGGAGCATGAAAAGAGCAGGGCGCGGCGAACGCCCCTCTCCCCGCTGGCTACCCACACCGACGCAAGCCAGCTACCTAGGGCCGCCTCGGCAGCAGTGGCTCGTCTAATCCTCCGACTCTTGTCGCATGTGTGGAAAGGGCCAGCGGAAGCGACCCCACCACACTCCCCTATTGTGCCCAGAGGCCTGCGGCTGCGGCTGTGGGGCTGTGGCGGTGGGGGCTGTGGCGGTGGGGGGCTGTGGTGGTGGGCTGTGGTGGTGGTTGTGGTGGGCTGACCGACTTGGGCTCTGAAAACACACACATCGCAGCAAACATACAGACACATCCAAGCCCAACTCACGAAGGAATGCTACCGCTCAGTCACTGACCGAATCTGACGCGATAGGTCCGGCGGTTTTCCATCCACACACTGGCGATCTCTTTACCATCATCGAGGGTCAGGATGTGGGGCGTGAAGTAATCACGGGGATAGCCGAACGACACGCAGATCGTTTTCAGTTGTGGCACGTCCACCGCGGCTTGATACATTGGGTTGTCCCGTACGCTCGCCGGCACAGAGCTGTGGTCGTTGAAACCAATGATTCTGGCCCTCTCATTGGCCCCCTCGTCGTGAAGGAGCTCCACACCCATGAGGTCGTCTGTGGGCAGAATGGAAGGCCACGGCAGCCCTTTGGAGGTCGTCTCGCGCTCGATATAGGAGCCCATGTGGTCTGATAAAGAGCAACCATCACACGACACGGCCGCCAGATAAGTGAGAGGGCATGATATGATGCCATCCTGCCTGTGTGTGCACCGCACCCACCTGATGGGCTAGATCAGCACTTGCTGACAGGACACAACAGCAACGCCTCACATGGGTGCTGAGAGGACGCACCGGAGAGCACACGGATGCGCAGTTTCGTGATGAGCTTGTCTGCTCTGTGGTGTGTTCGTACCTCTTGTCAACACACTCAATGAGTTCAGAGCGTCGCAGCACTGTCCATACCAACGACGTCAGCGACAGGTCTGAAACACGTTGACGCGGTTGCCTACAGGGCAGAGGAGGCTGTCTGCGTCGGGGACAGTGAAGCAGAGAGGGCCGCCCTGATAGGGAGCGCCGCACACCGACGCGAACCGATAAGATAACATCATCACGACGATGGCTGAAAGCGATGGATGAACCCACAGATCCAACGGCTGGCGCTGGCTATATGATGAGTGGGAACCTCAGAAGCGATGGTTTTTCGCCGCGGCGATCGGCATTCCAGCTCGCAGTCACGAGAGGACAGACCAGCCCCTCGCGACAGAGGTGGCAGCCTATTAGTAACGCCCAGAGGTCCTGTATATCACTTCCGAGGGTGAGAGATGAAAAAGGCACGAAAAGAACCATCGACAAGCGCCATACGTGCTGCTCGTTGTAGGTGCTGGTCTACTCATCCTCTCGTCCGTTTGGCGTCGGTTGCCCACCGTGTGGCAGCGCGTGTTGTCGGGCCAGCCTCCTGACGACATAGATTAGCCCTGATCTACGCCGGGGCGTCTGAGTCATGACCAGCTTGGGAAACTCTCGTCCCTCCGGCTTCGACGCGGCCATCGCTCTCCTCTCGTCGCCGGAGGAGCTGCCAGATGATGCCTTCGACAGTAGCCTGAAGGTGGTGGGGGCGAATGCCACGGACGCTTTTCTGAGCGGAGGTCCTGGAGGAAGTTGGGAGGCCCTGGGCAAGAAGCTCCTCAACCAGCGTTTGCTGAGGCGCGCCTATCACGCATTCACAGATGGCGGCAACCCGGCCCGCCAGGGGATGGCGGCCAGCGTGCTGTGGTTCCTGTGCCAGCGGAAGGCCGACGCCAGGGACAGCGCCTGGGAAGTTGCTGGTTATCTCATCCCCATCGCTGGATCGCCGCGAACATTCATCAGCATGCTGGCGTCCGTGCTGACCCAGACCACTGCTTTTCGGCTGGAAATGAGCGCATTCACCCTGCTGGCGGGCGCCATGGTCCTGGGCCGACAAGAGGGCAACGCGGTCGACACACGAGACCATCTGATCAAGCACTGCCCCGCCATCCTCGACAAGGCCCTCTCGATGGTGGCCAAGATAGCAGAGGATCATCCTTGCGGCAGGACGGCGCTGGCCTTCATCAGGACAGTGTTCGATACGGTCCCGATAGACGGCCCGCCTTTCCCACCCACAGTCATGCCCGTCTGTGTCTGTGTGGGAGTGTTTCGCGCGCTGGTGGAGTGCCTCACAAGTCGGAAGGCGGAAACGCGAGACAAGATGTGAGTGGCTTGCTGCATGTGCAGGATGTTGTTGTTTTTGCACTTGTTCTTCACTTTTTAGGCGCGCCGTGGGTGTGCATTATGTCGGCACGTTGCTCTGTTCCAACATACAATACGTGGCCAAAAGCGGTACGGAGCCAAACAAGGCAGATCTTCACTGAACAATGTGGTTGATGTCACTGACTGGCCGTCGTGCGCCTCCTTTCAGGGTCGGAAGATGACCGTGCTGCGTATCTGGCTGCGATGCGACAAGACATCTTCCCGTTCGTCGACACGTTTTGCGGCCTGCTGACGTCCCCTGACGCAGACGACGTTGTGCGAGACGGGGCCACCACCTGCTGCGTGTACATCTTCGACTGCTGCTCCGTTTTCGCAATATATGCCAAAGAGATAGGTCGACGGACGGACGGACGGACAGACAGGCTCCATCCGTGTGTGGGGGTGTGGCATCGCATCGATTGCTGGCTGCTTGTGTGTGTGCGTCTGGGCAGGTACTGCTTACTTTGCTACTTTGCCGGATGGGCCCGTCCAACGTTTGATGAGAGCGCCCAAGGCCCTGCAGGCATACGTCACGGCCGTCAAGAGCCTCGCCACTACTCTTGTTTCTAAAATTACGACTACCACGTTGCCCCTGGCTGTCCCGCAGATGCTGGCCGGTGAGCGAATGACACGAGGGAGGCTGCGTGGGAGGGAAGTGTTACATCACTGTGTCCTTGTGGGTGTGTTGCGCTAATGTGTGCATTGTGGCAGTGTGTGGCCATCGTGATGCCGTCTACTCTTCCGGATGCATATCGATGGCGTCGGATATCGCCAAGCGCCTCGACAAGGAGTCAGTTGACGAGGTGGCTACTGTGCGGCGAGTCTTCAGAACATCGTCGGACGCGACACAGACCTCACCGACGTGCGCGCCAAGGTCAGCACGGACGGATGGATGGATGGATGCGGCCATGGCCATTGTGTGTTGCCCATTTTCAGATCGCTGTGCGTGACGGCCTTCCAGGAGCGCTGTGTGACGTGGCCATCGCCTGCATCAAGAACGGTCAGATCGACCACCACATGGTGGACGGCTTTATAGACTTCGCCGTCAGAACCCTTCAGGCACTCGTCAGGTCTACACACACACACACACACACGCCTGCAGTGGGCAATTGGCGTCTTGGTTGAGGATGGTGGGTATTCCTGCGTGTGTTGTGGATGTCTTGTCGGTGCAGCTATGGTGATCGAGTGAGCAGCCGAGGGGGCAAGTTCCGGCCCAATGGCGTCACACGAGCCATTTTACAGCACGAGGCCGTCAAGGCGATGCGGGCGGCCGCTGTCCGGCAGCCGAATGGACGACGTAAGGGACACCAGCGGCAGCAGCAGCAGCAGCAGCAACTGACAGCGCCCAAGGAGGTGGGAAGTTATGCACACGTGACGCTCACACGGGCCGTATCCATATCATTGCATGTGTTGAGCGCCAGTTGTTGGATTTGTTTGACGAGATAGAGAGTGCGGCCAAGGAGTGGGCCGACGCACAGCTGCTGGCCGAAGTAGCACCACTAGCACCAGGTAGCACCACTAGCAGCACCAAGGGCGGCAAGAAGTCGAAAGGCGGCAAGAGGGGCGGCAGGGGGGACAACAGCACCGAGACGACATCATCATCCAGGTGACAGAACAGACCAATTGGGTCCTCATCTTACTCAGCTGATTGATGATTGATGCGCATGGATGTCTGCGGACAGTGCTGCCGCCATTGGCACATCCGAAGACCGCACCGACCACCAGGAGGAGGACGCCGAAGACCATCATGGCCCTCCAGGTCCCCCCAGCCCGTCGCCCCCCTCCCCTCCCCGACCATCATGCTCATACTCATCGTCAGCTGCCGGCGGAACCTCTGTGTCGGTGGGGGGCGGCAGGGGGCAGCAGCAAGGGGCGGGTGGTGGTGGCGATGATGGCGGCGGCTTCATCACCGTCGGCCGGAAAAAGAGGGGCGGCAAAGACACTGGCGGCCACACACAGCAGCAGCAGCAGACCAACACGGCTGACAAACGAGATGACAAGTAAGACCCAGCAAAGCACTCCACAACACTGAGCACTGACTACTCCGGTGTGCCTGTGTGTTCAGCTCGGGAGTCTTCCCGTCTTCGTCTTCGTCCGAGTCGACGCGGCCCTCATCATCGAACTCGTCAGTGTGTGGCGGCCCCCACAACGCGCCAGCCGTGCCCTTCCCTCTGCCGCCCCGCCCGGCCGCCCCGCCCCCACAGCCTCCCAGCCGACACAGACCCACACCCACACCCACACCAGCACCATCCAGTAGCCGTCTTGGCTGTGGCCATACTGGCCTCCCCCCATTGGCAGCCGGGGGCAGTAGCAGTAGCAGTTTGCAGACGGCGGTGGAGGTGGAGGGCCGCAGTGGTCACGACAGGTACGCACACATCAATGGACAGAGCAGCTGAAGAATCGAGACTGACAGACAACAGTCACTGTGCCTGCGTGCGTGTCTGCCTGCAGGTGTGGTGGTGAGGTGAGTGAGTTGCAGTTGATGCGCCAGCAGCTCGAGGCCATGCGGCTGGAGAAGGAGGCCATGCAGAGGACAAACGAGGCCATACTTAGAGAAAAAGAGGACATCAAGCGCGAAAAGGACAGGTAGGCCCAACCAACACCTGACCCACACACACAAATGGGCAACCGCAGTCACTGCTGCTGTGGTTGTCTTGTTTGCTGCAGACTCGAGGAGAGCACTGAGTGTGACATCTGCATGGCTGAGAAGAAGTCCATCGTACTCATCCCCTGTGTAAGCCAACCCACAGGCACAACGACTCACCTGTCCCTCTCAGCCATGCGCTGCCCACGTATGTGTGTGTGTGTGTGTGTGTGTGTTTACAGCGCCACTTCTGTCTGTGCGGTGTGTGTGCTGCGGTCTTGATGTCCAAGCCAGTGGCCCAGCGGCTGTGTCCCCGGTGCCGACAGGCCATCACGGCCACTCGACACGTCTATCTGTGAGTGCGGGGCCATCTTGTTAGCGAGCGACTTGTGTGGTGCTACGATGCCCGAGAGAGGAGGGGTGACTTTGACGGTGGCAGGAGACAGACGGGGGATGATAGACACCACCCACCCACCACCCAGGCACGGGGGCAAGGGTCGCATGTGTAGACGGCAGCTAGCTGTGTGACTGTGCATAGCTTATCTGACTTGCTGGCTGACTGACTGACTGAGTGGCAGGGAGGCGTGCATCATGATGTCACCGTCGATCGATGGATGTGTACATATGTTACGCACAATGTTTGTCGTTGAATACACGCACACGCACACGAACGCACGGTCCTCCATCCACTCATTCATCCATCCATCCATCGGTGCGATCGGCCGTGCTGGCCCGCACTGATCCATCGCACGTCACACACAGATACACACAGCCCATGAACACACTCACACTGTCCGTCGGGCCCTGGCGAGCTGTCTGCCTGCGTCCGCGTAGTGATGATCAAACAAAATCCATCGAGGCACTCACTCACTCTCGCTCAGTCAATCCATCAGCAGCACTACACATACAGACATACATACAGGCCCGTAGGTAGGTTAGTATACCATCCATCCATCCATCCACTGCACTCACTCACTCACTCCATCACTCAATCATCACTGCAGGCAAGGGTCAATAAATAGGCAGCCAACTACCAACACACACACCACACAAGGCAGGCCATAAAGAAAAGCCAAGACAGAGAGAGAGAATGAGAGTGCGATAGGGGGCAAACGAGCCAGTGAGTGAGACGTACCTACGCCTCGTGTGTAGCGATCGGCAACAAAGCAACAACCGCCCCACCAGACAGACAGGGGTGGATCAAGAGATGTATGGACCGGCAGACAGACAGACAGCCAGCGGCAGGCAGCGTTCGTGCGTTGCATATATGCACTCAGTGCTCTGGATGAGCACACACGCACCCAACCAACCAGGCAGCCAGGCAGCCGGGCAGCCACCAAAAAAGCGCTGACCAAGTGAGGGGTGGGGGGCGGTGGGTGGATGGATGGATGGATGGCGGTGGAAGGGGTGCGTGGGGCATGGCTTAAAGTACCGAACCGGATAAAGTATAGATATCATCCTTCAACCCACATGGCAGACAGACCCAAGGCATCCCTCTCGGCGCACTTCCTCAGCCAGCCAGGGGGCACAAAAAAGGCTAGACGCGCACACACACACACACACACGAGACAGTAAGTTGCAGTCAGTAGTCGAGCAAGGAGACAAGGAAAGAAGAAGCGGCACAGACGACGAGGGAGGGAGGGAGGGAGGGAGGGGAGGCCGACATCCAGACGCAAAAACCCACCCGCACACACAGCTTATCTCTCTCTCTATCCGCTGCCGAATCCTCCGTCGGACACACAGTCACCGTTTTCGTCCCTGACGTGTCTGCTCTTGCACTCGCACTGGGCCTTGCCCTCGACGGTCTTGCACACCTCATTCTCGCCGCACTTCTTCAGCTCACACGGGTCCACAGCTACACACACAGCCACCCACTCACACACGCATGTGTCACCGTGTGTGTGTGTGAGTGAGTGTTGTTCCTTTACATACCTTCTTGACCGCATTTAGCGAGGCACTCAGCGATGCCCGGGACGGGTGAAGCGGGTATGCTGCTCTTGATGTCGGCTATCTGGTCGGCGTCTACGTTGAATGCCGCCTGGAGTGAGGTGCTGTTGATGTCGAAGAGGGCATTGACGATCGTCAGCACACCGGGGTCCTCGTGGTTGAACGTCGACAGAAAGATCGCGTCCTCACAACCTGACAGATCCATCAACACACACACACACACCCCCCTGTGGTCTCTCCCTCTCTCCCTGTGTGTGTGGGTGCGCACCGACCGGCGTTGTAGTGCCAGTGGAGGAGGCCTTTGGGGACGAAGGACAGCTGGCCCGTCTTGAGGACGTTCTCGATGGTTCTGCCACCGTTCTCCTCCACAAAGCCCACATGCAGCTCCGTCGCGTTGATGACGTAAAACAGCTCTGTCGCACGCGGATGCATCTGCACACTGCAGTCAGTGGACACACCAAACACACACACACACACATACACACACACAGGTGCACGTCTGTGTGTGCGTCTGGTTTGGGGATGCAATATATCGATGCTGCCTGACACCCACCTGTTCATGCCGCAAGGGTAGAGTCTGTAGAGTGCCTGCGAGACGCCATTTCCCGCGAGTGAGGGCATGGCGGCCACCGCGGCCACCCGCAGCTCGCCGCCCTTGCCCGCATCGCCCGCCTTGGCGGCCGCCAGGTTGAACACAAAGTCCTCCGTCTTGAACTGAGATCGGAACTTGAGGGCCGTCTGCCCGGGCGAGTAGGCCTGGCCGCTGACCCGCTGCATCAGGCCAAGGGCCGCCAGCACCACAGACACCGCGGCAGCGCTCACGCGCAGCATCATCGCGACACACAGAAAGGGGGACTGAGAGGGAGGGCGAGGGAGGGGGCGGATGCGATTGGGATGGCAGATCAGATCACTGCTGCGATGATACGTGGAGCAGGGGAGGGCTTGAGACAGAGCAATAGCTTGTGGCAATTACAAGCTCGCAAGTGAGAATTCGATCGCCGCCAGGCCATTCTCGAGGGTGTCGATCGCCTCTTCCCCGACCTGACGCAGTACTTCCTGCAGTGGTACGGCGAGCCAGCGGAGCTGTGGTTTCACCACGAGAGG